CGCTGCCCGCCGCTTACGCCCGCCGCTTACGCCACGCCCACGTCGTTTAAGCCGCTCGCGCCGACGCCGCTTACGCCACGCACACGCTGAGGACATGTGTCTGGCCCTCTCCTCCCGGTGAGCTGCCCGATTCGCCGCTGCCCGCCGACATGATCAACGCCGCTGCCCGCCGACAACACCAAGGTACGTGGCGATCGGCCGGGAGCTTTTTAATGCTGCCTGTGTGTGTTTTTTGTTTTTTTTAAAGCGGCACACTGCAGAACATTATCAGCTATAGAGGAACACCAAATCTCAGCAATAATACATTATACCAGGTGTTTAATATATTATTGCTGGGATTTGTTGTTCCTCCCTAATGTGCCTGTGTTCCGGGCGATCGCACTGTGGGCGAGGGACATGGCTGCGGTGCCATTAACTTCAATACAACCCCACACCCCTCCTGCCCCTGAAAACGCAGGGAGTCAGCTCGGCTTACATTCCAGTGCGTGTGCGTGGTGCTCGTGTGGCGACGTTGCACATGGGGAGAGGTGTCCTCCCCCTTTCCATCTGCAGCGTCTGCCACATTCAGCCGGCACCCGCACGAGCATAGCCGTAGCCTGCTCCTTTTGCGCCCGAGGCAAGAAAAAAAACCGTGTGGCCCCCCCACCGGCGTGTGATGTCACCCAGTGCCCTGCCTCCAGGATTTTTTTTTTTTATTATTTCTTTTTTTTTAACTCTTGGGGGGGGGAGGGGGCTTCTGGGAAATATTAGGGGTCTAAACAGCCCCCTGATATTTCACTTTTAAAAGAGAAATTGAGGACACAAAGTGGAAAGCACAGAGGCTTCCCATTCATTCAGAAAATATTTTACTATCATCCAGGTTCTGAATGCGGAGGAGCCTCTGTAGTGAGTGCTTCTCCCCATTGAGAAACTCATGAATGAACAGGAAGTGATGCAAATCAGATCCTGTTCATTCATAACTGGGGACACAAAGTACTATGTGTCCCCAGTTATTTACAAACACTGGAGTGATCAGCTGACCGCTCCAGTGTTTGTCCTGCGCAGGGGATTGGTACATATCACTGATTAGCATATCACTGATATGTACCGATCCTCTGCCGCTCGACCACGCACAGGGGGCGTCGGAACCTGGCCGAGCGTCTCTCTCTCTCCTCACCGCTCGGCCTTAGTTCTGTGACAGCGGCTCCCTCCTCCACTGCGGGCTGCAGCGGTTCTTTCACTTCTCGGATCCCCACTGCATACAGATGGGGGAGAGCAGCGGGAATCCAGAGAAGCATCGCGGGAGGAGAGGCCATCGCGATCTACCACTGATCGCTACACGATCGACTGGTAGATCGCGATCGACCTTATGGGCACCCCTGGTCTACTCGAAGAAATGTAATTTCCATTGATTTTCTTTGTACGTTTTGCAGTCCTTGCCATTCAGGTCGGACAAGGTGCTTGTGAATATCATAGTATATGGCCAACCTGAAAGATTTACTGCACATTAGATGATAATTGTCTCACACTGAAGACTTTTGTGTATTCCTAAGTGTCAGATGTACCAGAGCAGAACAGATAATCTTGGTTGGAGAAAGGTCATTCTGCTCTGTCTGAAATGTGTTTTGTAGAAGAGCTACATGGCACTTTCACTTCACAACATGCAGCAAGATTGCTATGTGTCTACACTAATATTTAATCTCGGTTGTAGTATCTCTTACACATTGCTCTTCCTTGTCTGATGAGCCGGCTGCAAAGCAGTGAAAATCTTTTCTTTAATGAGAATGTATCGTGTGATTTATTTTTATTTTTTTAAGGAAACCCAAGAACACAAATGTAATATATTTCAGCTTACCAATCCTTGGATGTGGTGGCTGCATTCATTTTCTTTTTCCCAATTCATCTTCCTGGACAGCACAGGAGAGAGAGGATCCACCCGCATAAAACAGGAAACACATCTTTCACAATTAAAATAAAGGGGAGGTCTCTCCTGACCACCTCGGTTATTGTGTCTTTTATTATTATTATTAGGGTTGCACAGATACCAAGTACAGTACTGGGTACGAGTACATGTACAGATACTTTTGAGCTCCAAGACTAGACTAGAGAAAAATTAAAAAATTAGGAGTCAGCTGTCATTTGTAAGGAGCACACGGAGCTCCTGGGATTTGTACATCTCTGTTTTAATGTAGGATTTTGTTTTTATAAATATAAATAAAGGGATGCACAGATACCAGATTTGCGAGTATGAGTACTGATACTTGCCGAGTACTTGCAAGTACGAGTACTGATACATTTTTGTTTATTGTCATGTGACAGTTTTTCTAAAACAATACAGACTAATGATTTCAGGACAGTGGTGGAGCGCCAGAGCCAGGTCCCAGCTGCAACCCCGGTAGTTCTCATAAAAATGCCAAGTATCTGCACTGGTACTCGAAAAGTATCTGTGCATCCCTAATTATTATACAGGATTTATATAGCGCCAACAGTTTGCGCAGCGCTTTACAATATAAGGAAGACATTCCAATCACTACAATTTAAGACAAGATGGTAAGGAGGGCCCTGCCCCTCTTTTTCCAGCTAAATATATTTTCTACCAGTACTGAGAAACACCAGTTGATTTTGTCAAAATTCCAGCGTCCTTGTTACTTCCTGCGCACTGAACTGATAATTTGACAGCGTTCTCAGTAGTGATGAGCTGAGGCTTGGTGCAAGTCCAGTTCGTCTGAAGTCGCCCAAGCCCGCTCAAAACTATGGGGGGACGCCCCCATATGGATGAATCAGTTGTGGTAGGCGCATTCCCCACCCCGAATCATGTCATGGAGGAGCGGGGAATACAACTCATTGTGACAGACATTGTGTTTGTAGACCAAATCAGGAGAGCAGCCTAGTGACAACACTGCTCCTCCACAGAAACAGTATGGGATGGAGGGGGGGGGGGGGTCCGGGGAAGGGGAGGGCAATGAGTGCGCTGTCAGCAGCTCTGTCCGGCATCCTGCCCAGCTTGCTGACATCACCGGCTGCCAGGAGCTTGGCGGGACACAAGCCAAGTGTCCTGCTCAGCTCCCAGCAACTGGTGAGGTCTCTGAGCCGGGCTGGAAGCCACACAGAGCGTCACAGGTTGCTAATAGCCCTTTGCAACCTGGGATACTGTTGCCGCCACCCCCACTACCTGGCTGCCCCTCAATGAGATGCCACCTGCCTCATTATAGGGATGAACTTGGTGACAATGCTGCTCCTTTTATAGATACAGTACTGTGCAGTGTGTGAGCGTTGTCACCCTAGGATGGGAAGCATGTTACTGGCAGGTGAAAATAAAGGGAAAGAAGCCAATGCCGCCACCACTGGTGAGCAGCAATATATGACATTTCTGATTTTGTGATTAGATATGCTAAGATAAACACGTGAATTGGATCCACTTGATGTGAATAATCTTATCCGTATGTGTTATCTAGAGCCAACACCTTTTTATTGCTGTCCATATTCTTGCTGGGCAGGTTCACTCTCTCTTTGTCCTGGTGACAGTTGCCACTGAGACAGGTGGTGGGAAATCTAAAATGTTACAGCTGTACCAAAACAAGAGAACGTTAATAGAAATATGCCTAACATTCCCTATGTTAGCCACAATTAGAAAATAAAAAAATTGGTCTATAGTCACACGTTTGCCCATTGTGACAATACCGTGACTGTAAAATTTGCTCTTTAATCATGGCAGGTTCTACTTTTAGCGAGCCATACACTTTCTCATGTTCAATAGTAGGGATGCACCGATATATCGGCCGCCGAAACATATCGGCCGAAAATGGCACTTTTGGCATATTGCCGAAAGTGCCATTTTCCTGCCGATACATCGGCACATCCCTGATTTCTTTCCTCCCAGCGGGGAGAAGAGAAAGTGACAGCCGGCCGAGCGCTGTGATGGAGAGCGCTGTGAGGGGCCGGCGTCTCCTCTCACACCGCTCTGCCACCTATCACAGTCCGGCAGAGCGGTGTGTGGGCGGAGACAGCGCTGTCACAGGAGGCTGGGCTTTCCTCTCTACACCGCTCGCTCAGCCTCCTGTGACAGCGTGTCAGAGAGGAGAGCAAGGTACATACACTCAGTGATCGCTGAGTGTTTGTACATAATTGAGGACATGGTGTATTAACTATATCCTCAATTATGAATGAATGGAAGTGATCTACATCCCCTCCTGTTCATTCATAGTTGTAGTTATAGTAAACAAACAATGTTCTCATGTTATCAATGAACAAGAACACTCCTAGAGGATTCCTGTTCATTGATAACAGGGGACACAGAAAAAGAGATTGAGGACTTTGTGTTCTCAATCTCTTTTTCTATTTAAATATTTAATAAAAAATGAATTAATAAATACAAATAAATCTAAAAAAATAAAAAGTTTATAAAAAATAAATACGAATAAAATATTAAAAACATTTGAAAAAAAAAAACACATTTTCGGTATCGGTTTCGACCTGACATTTTTTTTTGTTTCGGTTTTAAAATTTCCATTTCGGTGCACCTCTATTCAATAGTTGTGTTGAACGAGAGAAAATCAATATATTCCTCGCCCCATGCTAAACTGCATGGATGAAGCAATCTCCATTGCTGGTCATTTAAACAGCTGACCCCCGTGGCTGCCTAAATATCCAATGACTGCATCCGATGGGATGTAGTCACTCTTCTGCCAATGATTTTCCACCCAGAGTTTTGTTGAGTCAGGTGGTGCCGGCAGGGTATGGCTAGCTTTACTTTTGTGTTTACTGGTTGTGTTTTGTGGTTTCATCTTACGCGGCTAATATTTTTGCCAACTCATTGAAAACAATGCACTCCTTGCGTGGCTGATAATTTATCTCAACAGTTGAGAGAGAAAGATAAGTGACTGCAGACTTGGAATTCTACCACAATAGCCAATCCAAGGCAAACTCTAATACTAACTCGCCAGATGGGAGCTCACTGAAAATACATTACACTTTAAAGTAATTTGTCTTCATCTTTCTTATGCTTGCAGGTACTTTTGAAGGCCTTCTGTAGAAAACTCGTCTGTCTGGATGCTCGGGGTGGCAGACCCATCTCTTTGACCTCTGAAGCCTCATCTCCCTAACCCAGGTGCAACGTTCATCCCTCCAGCCGGGCTCAGCCAAGGCTAGATAGAAGTGGACATTGTTCCAGCAATGGGCATTGGTCGGAACCCCTCAACTAAGGCTATGGAATCCTCAAACTCAACCGATGGGAAGTATGAGGAGGAGACGAAGCACACAACCTTTTTCACCCTTCCGGTAAGCTACAACCTATATGACTGATTAATATAAAGTATGCATAATACTGACCTTACACATTCTGGTTCAAAGTCATTCATCTAATAAAAAAAAGTGTGTAGGCAATGGACCAAAAACAAACAATTTTGCCGAAAGGTCTGTGATGTGATCACTTGCTTTACCTGCTCAGGTCAGCGGCACGTGTGCATCAGTGACAAATGCAGTATGCATCAACTGCACACGTACAGCCAGTTTGGAATCACATCTGATGGTGTTTGGCCAGTTTTACGCAGATGTCTATAGGAATGTTGGGAGGTGCCATAACTGTACATTGCTATATAGAACCAGCTTCCAGTGTAGTGACAGGTTCAAGCAGGTGGTTTGTGTAAGCTTACACACCTTTCTGATCACGGGACAGGTGCACAGGAAATAATTTATCTAGCTTTTATCATTGTTCATGGGCAATAAGGCCTCCAAACAGTGCATAAAAAGCTTATTTCACTGCAAGATGTAGTGCGACTCATCTCCAATCATTATTCTTGGCTGATAAGGGTGTTTTTATTACTCTACAGTGGTGTTAAAGTTTAACTATGCACATTGTTAACTTCAAAAGCAAAAAAAATGAATCTACTCCGAGATACTATTTATTTTTTAACAGGTTTTTTTTATAGCACCGACCATTCACACAGTGCTTTATATAGCTGCACAATAACATCAGTCCCTGCCCTCAAGGAGCTTACAATCTAAGGTCCCTATCTCACATGCATACAGGGCCGATACGGACAGGAGCCAATTAACCTTCCAGCATGTCTTTGGAGTGTGGGAGGAAACCCGCGCAAGCACATGGAGAACATGCAAACTCCTTGCAGATAGTGACCTGACTGAGATTTGAACCAGTGCTAACCACTATGCCATTGTGCTGCCCAGACTAGAGGAAGGCTGGAAGTGCAGCAATGATTCCACTGCCCCCAGATATCTGAGTCCCCAAACATTTGGCTTGGTGGTTGTTTCGCTTTTTTGAAGGTTGTGCAGCGGGGCACATGCAGCCATCTCCTGCACCTGGCTTGTCAGTAGAAAACAATAATAATCACAACAGGTTTTCTCAACTGTTCAAGCACTTTCTCCATCAATATCTGGCATTTTGTAAATCTGGGTTCACACCTGAGCATATTTTTTCTACTCGTTTTTTTCACCTAAGGCCTGGTTCACACCTGGGCGTTTTACAGTGTGTTTCTACGCGCTGTAAAACGCTCAACATGTGAAAACCAATGATTGCCTATGGGCATGGTTCTCACCTGGGCGCTTTACTACGCGTAGGAAGGCGCTGAAAAACGCCCGGCGCCCAAAGAAGTGCAGGAGTTTCTTTGGGGCGTTTTTCCGTGCGTTTCCATTGGTATTCCCGAGTGTGGATCGGGGTTAACAAAGCGAAGGAATGGACGGGGGAGGGTACAGCTGGCTCTGCCTCTAGATAGGCAGAGCCAGCTGTAAAGCCTGCAGCTGGGTGGATCCAGACAGTAATGTCTGGATCCGTCCTGGCTGCGGCGTCTCAGTATACCGCGAGCTGTAGCTATACTGATCTTTGGGTGACGGGAGGACGCTAGTTTGTGTCCTCCCGTTACCCTTAGGAGAACTATGGGGAAATGCCCTGACCCCATAGTTCTCCTTTTAAGCATGTGATCCCATTAATACTGATAATATTGTTCTTTGCTTTGTGAGGCAATTAATACAGTTGGCAAGATATTTTAACATGTTACACAATCAGCGCTGTTGTGAGAAAAATAATATGTAATACAATCTGTCCTGTTGTGAACATAAAACACAGGTGCATTTAGTGACCTGATCAGTTTCAGTGGAGGTATTAAGGTGATGTTGTATAACATCAGCAAACTATGGGGGGTGGGGGGGTTGGGTTTCAAAACTGGAGCAGATTTCCAAGGCATCCAATCAGCTTCTCTCTTCAGTTTGTTCAGTTAAGATTTGAAAATGAAAGAGAGAAGCTGATGCACAGGAAAATCAAGTATCTTGAATGCGCGCTTGCGGTGTTTTTCCTTTCCAAAACACATTTAATTGACTTGCAATGTGCCTCTAAACTTGCTAGAAAATGTGGCTAGGTTAGGAAGTGAATTCCCTAGCGTAGTCCCCTCCTTGTACGTCATTGCCCTCTCCTCTTCTGGGATTGTCTAATTACTGTCTGTGAGATAGATAGATTATTTTAGGAATGCACCGATACAGAGTACTTGGGTGAGTACTTCTACTTGCCCAATTGCTCCCGGTGCCTATCCCGATCCCGAAACTTCCGGTATCAGTAAGGCAAGTTGCGAGTCATTACATGCTCCCCGTCTTCCTGATTGGCCGAGAAACCCGCTCTCTATGGTCCCTCGTCACTCGTAGCTTTCTCCATGCTACTTTTTCGTAGCTTCTCCATGCCACTTCTTTTCCGTAGCTTCTCCATGCCACTTCTTTTCCGTAGCTTCTCCGTGCCTCTTCCTTTTCCGTAGCTTCTCCATGCCACTTCCTTTTCCGTAGCTTCTCCAATCCACTTCTTTTCCGTAGCTTCTCCAATCCACTTATTTTCCGTAGTACTTGGGTGAGTACTTCTACTTGCCCAATTGCTCCCGGTGCCTATCCCGATCCCGAAACTTCCGGTATCAGTAAGGCAAGTTGCGAGTCATTACATGCTCCCCGTCTTCCTGATTGGCCGAGAAACCCGCTCTCTATGGTCCCTCGTCACTCGTAGCTTTCTCCATGCTACTTTTTCGTAGCTTCTCCATGCCACTTCTTTTCCGTAGCTTCTCCATGCCACTTCTTTTCCGTAGCTTCTCCATGCCACTTCTTTTCCGTAGCTTCTCCATGCCACTTCTTTTCCGTAGCTTCTCCGTGCCTCTTCCTTTTCCGTAGCTTCTCCATGCCACTTCCTTTTCCGTAGCTTCTCCAATCCACTTCTTTTCCGTAGCTTCTCCAATCCACTTATTTTCCGTAGCTTCTCCAATCCACTTCTTTTCCGTAGCTTCTCAGAGCCATTTTTCTTCAACTGAAGAAGTGGTTAGGGGAAGCTAGGAAATGTCTTAAAGGAGAACTATGAGATGAGTGATTTCCACTCACCTCATAGTTCTAGCCGACCTGTGACAATGAGACTGTCACAGGTCGGCTCAGTAGATCGGGAGGTGAGCGAACACATACCAGGTTCGCTCACCTTCCGATCCTGTCACGGCTCTCTGCCGTGACAGGGGGAGGGGCTGGATTCCCCTCTCCCCGCTCCGATCTGCCAGCGCTGACTGGCGGATCGGACGGGGGAGGGGGCGGGTACAGCTGGCTCTGCCTCTAGATAGGCAGAGCCAGCTGTCACTCACGCAGCTGGGCGGATCCCGTCATCTACGTCGGGATCCGCTCCGGCTGTGGCGTCTCAGTATACCGCGAGCTGTAGCTCGCGGTATACTGAGCTTAGGGTAACGGGAGGACGCTAGTTTGTGTCCTCCCGTTACCCTAAGGAGAACTATGGGGAAAAACACTGACCCCATAGTTCTCCTTTAAACATTACAGAATAAGTCTAGTAGAGCGTGACTCAACTACTGACAGCTATACCATGACCTGAATAGTGAGACCTTCAGACATTGTAGCTTAGTTTTGCTTTACATATAGCTAGGAACAGAACCACTGAAAGAAAATCATCAGAGTTTTATATTTATTTATATAATGGGAAATTATAACCACACCCCCTAGCTACTAGTCAGGCTTTTTTCTATTGTGTTTTTGTGCAATCATGACATGGATTTGAGGTACAGCTACTGACGAGATTACATGCATATCATAGGACACATCAAGTCAATTTCTCCACTTGGGATTCTCTGCATTGTTGAATCCGAAATCTGTTTCAATTTTATTTTTAACTCCTTTGTGACTGACGACGTACGGTACAGACTCTGTTTAAACTTGTAAAGCCGACTGTCGGCTTTACAATAGAAGCGATTCTGGCAAATCAGCTGTCGCCAGATCGCTTCTAGAGTCCCCTGAACAGCTGCGCCCCCCACCGCCCAACATCACCGCCGTGCTTCCCGGGCTCCGTTGCCCCTCCTACGGGCCCAGGACTGGCTTCTGTGGTGTCTGCGGGGAGATGCGGAGGAGATGGACAAAGCTCTGTTCATCGATCCCCTCCCCGTTCTATGGGAACGGGAGCGTTGCAGATTGCATCACTTCCGGTCCCTGGGCTGTCAGTTCTGGGCTCCGGAAGCCCAGCTATAAGCTATTGAAGTGCGATCTGCACTTCTATAGCTTATTTCTAGTGTAAAGGTGACACTGGGGGTCTTTTGGACCCCCAGCATCATCTTAAAGAGTACCTGTCACCACCATCTGCTATCACATTGGGGGGGAGGGGGGGGCTGTAAGTTTTAAAAATGAAATAAATTGAAAATTTTTGTAAATTTTTTTTAAAGTCCCATGCCCCCGCGAGCACGCGTCAGGTGCGCCTACGTATGAAAACGACAAACGCGCTACACATGTTGGGTATCGCGGCGGGTGCCGGAGTGAGAGCAATAATTCTAGGGCCAGTATTTTTGGGTATCTCTAAATTGATGACCCGTGGGGGCTTTTAAAGCGTTGTCTATGGACTTTTTGGGGTACTGACGTTTGTCGCCATTTCACGGACGCACACAATTTTTAACCTGGGAATGTTGGGTATCTATTTACTCGGTGTACCCTCATCTTCTATATTGTATTTTAAAAAATTTGTATTTTACTGTGTTTTGGGGCATTTAAGTAAATTTTTCACAAAATTTTGGGGTTTGATAAGAAGTTGCGCTAATATCGTGCAACATAAAAATTTGCAACTGCAAACATTTTATACTATAGGGTCTCGGCTTTCAGAAAATATATAATGTTTGGGGGTTTTAAGTAATTTCCAGGCCTAAAATGTGTCATATAACATGGGTGCAAAAAATGAAAAAAAGGCTCCAGTCATGAAGGTGTTAATTATTGAGAGATCCAGCCCCATACCCCAGTAGTTGGTTCCAAGCAATACGTCAGAG